AAACTATGTTATAATCTATTTGTAAAACTACAAGTTCTCAGATCTTAGCCAGTTTCATTTCTAAGTTATAAACTGAGAGGAGTACCTTCGTTTTTTACTCTATATCCTTCATTCTTTGATTATTTAAATGAATTTTCTAAATATTCAGCCTGGAAAGAAGAGTGAAAAAAATGTATAAGTCAATTTATCTGTCAAATGAGTATAGCCTTTCTGTCTACTTGTCTACCACACTAATCTCCACCCACCCAAGTCCTAGCACCCGTTAGGAACTACTGCAGTGCTAAGGGATTCCTAAATATTTTGTTGTTGTAAATACTGAGACCCATTAATGAAAACATAATGGTGCTGCATGTTGAGCTTGGGTGTTCCTAGTTTTATAATAAATTCTGAAAGTGACCACAAGATACTGACTTAAAATTTAAGCAACCTGTTTTGTTTGTAGTTAAAAAAGAAGTTATAAAAGAAAAACTGGTCAGGATGACTCTTTTGATAGCAAACTTATTATTTTATGCTGAAGCAAAAGTCGTATAGTCCTTTTCAGGACATATCCTTGAGGTGCATTCCCAGCTTGGATCATTTGCTAAGGCAATTTCATAGCATTTGCTAATATCATTGCTTAAGACTGGTACATAACAATTTGTTGAATGCTACTTGGAGTATGAATATTTTGCTTGTTTAAAAGAAAAGTCTTTTACAGTGCTTTTGTTTTATTCTGTAGCCTTTGGCGGTGAGAAATGGAAAACAAACGTTTTACTAACATCATTTCTTTGTCCTGGGTAAGTAATTTTTTTCAATAGTTATTTCCTTATTATAATCATAATTTAGTCTCCAAATGTTCTATATTTCAGTTTTTCATATTCTCTGTCCTAACTCATGTAATTAAATTAAGAAAGTAAATTTAATTTTTAAATGGATAAAAGCAAATATTTATTAAACATCTGTTGAATGACTAGTACACCATTATCTGAGAAGACCACCTTTTAAACAAAGTTTTTGAATCCTTAAAAGCTTTGTATTTCTTTGTCTACAATAGTTAGGCTTATCTCTTGTCACATAAACTGCATTTAAAGCTTTGACACAAAGGAGTCCTCACCTAAAGTTAGTTCAGGCAAGCAATCATTTTTATATTTTTTTCAAAATTTTTACTGCTTTTTAGAGTTCATTCCAATAAATACAGAAACATGCTGAAAATATGAAACAACCACCACCAAAAAAAGAGCCCTTTACTCTTTAAGGAACAGCTTCTGATATCAAATAACTGATGTTCTTTTACTCCTAGAAATAGAAACCACTTTATCCTCAACCCCAAATTTCTGGTGGGCAAAAACTAGTCCCTGAACAGTCAGCAGTTACAAAGAAAGCCAAAGAGTAAACCTTGAACACCAGGAGTGTACATTTCACAAGTCAGAAGTGGAAGAGCTTTCTGGACAGAGTGACTGATAACAGCCAACATTTTTATGAGTTTGGTATCAGCATTCTCTCAAATTATTATTTCTGTTAAAGAGTCACATAATTCTCAGTTGTTCATTTGTCATCTTTCCCTCTGTCATCAAGTCAAGAAATGTCCTTAACAATACTCTTGTATAAGTTTCTTGAGAATCTTGCCTTTCAAGCATTCTTCCTAATAGCTGACATCTTCAGTTTCTTTCTTTTTGTTCTTCTCGTGTTGTTTAATCTTAGTTCTACAAATATACTCGTTTTATTGTTGCTGTTGGGTGTTATTCACATTCATTCCAACTCATAGTGCCCCCATGTAAAATAACAGAATTGCTGCATAGAGTTTCCTAGGCTGTAATCTTTTCAGTCTTCCTCCCATGAAGGTGCTGGGTTGATTGGAACCACCAGCTTTGAGTTAGCAGCCAACCACTTAACCACTGGTGTGACACTATGTAATGAGCACTGGATTGTTTACCATAAAGTCAATGGTTCAAATCCACTGGCCACTCCTTGGAAACCCTATATAGTGTCACTGTGAGTCAGAACTGTCTCAGTGGTATTTAACAATAACTAACCCATCCAAATTCTATAAATAGCTTCCTATAACCATCATCTCTTCTCTGTTGCCTTATTTCTTCTTATACCAAATAAATGCCTTGTGGGAAAAAAAGTACAATTCATTATTCTCATTTTTCTCTGTATTAATATCTGTATTAATAATGTAGATCCATCTTATGTCTTCTATCACCTTTAACTTTTTTCTACAATTTCTAGTGATGGCTCTATCTTTAAATTTAGGAACAATTTTGTCTTCATGGTCTAATATAGATAACATTTCTCCTTGAAACACTTTCTTCTTGGCTTCATAAAAATTATCTTGTGCTAGTTCTTCTTTCACATCTCTGATCAAGCTTTCTCTGATTTATCTTCTTCATCCTCCCTTTAAAAGTAGATGATCACCACAGTATAGTGAGGCAGAGAGGAATTGATGTAATTTCTACAACTACTTTAGTCTGAAATTGATCCAACTTGCAGTCAAAATGCTATGATAATTCCTAATGTTTGGAATGCAAAAGTTTGAAACAAAGAAAGAAAGGATCAGTAAGTGGAAAATAAGGCTTTGATGTTGGAGATTCCATGGTAGACGTTTGCAAGAGAAAGTTACTTAATTATTACAAATACCTATTTTCAACAACATAAATGATGACTGTGCATGTGACTCTCACCAAGAGATGATGGAGAAACTCAATATCATCAGCCAAAATAAGGCCAAGGGCCAAATGTGAAACAGACCATCAATTGGTCAGTTCAGACTGATTCGGAAGAAAATTAATGCAAAGCTGTCTGAGCCAAAATATGACCTTGAATATATCCCACCTAAATTTAGAGAAATGTCCCAAAAGGAAATGATTAATGTTCAGTCATTTCAAGAGGTAGCATATGATCAAGAGCCAATCATCCTGAAAGGAGGAAGTCCAAGGTGCACTGAAGGAATTGGTAAAGAACAAGGCACCAGGAATTGATAGAATAAAAATTGAAATCATTCAAGAAAGTGAGGCAGCATAAGAGGCACTCACTCATCTCTGCCAAGAAATTTGGAAGACAACTATCTGGCCGACTAATTGGAAGAGATCTGTATTTGTGCCCATTCCAAAGAGA